AGGGATCCCATTCTTCATCTCGTGCTCAATCAAGGCCTTTACTGTGGGGAGGGGGCATGACTGGGCGGGGGGGAAGCTGCTGGAGGGGCCCAGGGAAGGGGCCCAACAGAGGTCCTGCCCAACACGTTCCTGCGGGGAAGAGGGGACTGGCGAGGGAAAGAGGGAGGACGATGAAGAGGGGCTGGGGCCTTACTGTTCTCTGCTGCCTTCTTGATGCCAGCCTCATCCTCTGGGGCATCTGGACTCAGGCCCATCAGGTCAAACCTGGGCAAACAGAGGCGTTGGCAGCTCCTGGAAGACCCTGGCCAGCCACCTAGAGCTTTCTCAGCTCCCACCTCCCCGCTGCTCAAACTCACCAGGAGGGCATCACCATCTTCATGTTGAGCGTCACAGGGATCCGAGGCCTGGGGAAGGAGAGCGAGAAGGGCTAGCATGCTCCAGAGGGAGGAGGCAACCATGGCAGTCAGTCCTGGAGCAGGCAGAGCGGTCCCTGGGGGCCCCTCCCAACGGGCAGGGCCTGTGTTTAAGGTGTTGCCAGGCAACCTGAAGCTTAGGGCTGGAAGCTGTGGTTGGGGCGTCAGCAGCAGGGATGGAGAAGCAGAGCCCAGCACTCAGTGTTGAAGGGGTTCCAGCTTAGTAGGTGAGTACTTGGGGAATGGGAACAGGGGATCCTGGCTCTTGGATGTCTCAGGTCTAGGAGGCCTTGGGCTGGGGCTGGACCCTATTCCTGGGGGCTCCACAGAAGTAAAGGCTGGAAATGGAACTTCTGACTGCCCTGGGCCCAGGCCTCAGGATGCAGCTGGCAGGAAAGAACAGACCTAGGGCCACAGGACCACCCTCAGCCTATTCCCATCCTCAGCCCCTTCCTTGCTAGGGTGACACTCACGCATGGGGACAGATATACTTGACATGAGGAAGCCGGATAGTGGAGAGGGCGTCAGCCCAGCTGTGCCTGTAGAAGAAAGGGGAGAAAAGGCAACAATGTGGAGAGGGAGACAAGGAGGGCAGCACAGGCCTCTCCAACCCTGCCCACTGGGCCTTTCCCCACCTCCCCAGGGGAGACCCCCTCCCCAGCTCACTCACCCTGTGTCTCCAAGTCCATGTAAAAAAATAACCTGGAAAAGAATCAGATGGGGAAGAGGGAATCTTGCCATCATTCCCCACTGTCCTCTAACTGCTGGCCACCCCTCCCCCACTCCCAAGGACTTGGGGGGGAAATGAAGTAGTAGCCAAGCAGGTTATTAACCCCCTGCCTCCGGGCTCCAGGCTGCTCCCTTCTCATCACTGCCATCTCCATTTCTCCACGCCCCTCCAGCCAGCTCCCCAGCTGGCCTGGGGGCCACCGTGGATAGGAGGGGACCCTTACTTACCGCAGCTGTTTCCCGCTCGGCTCCAGACACGGTGGCAGCATCGGTGAGCAGGGGCACAGACATGGTGTTACCACACATACACTGCAAGGCTCCAGGCTGGGGCCTGTGCAAATTCGGGGGAGTAGTCAAAAGCAGGCTCAGGCAGCGGAGAGACTCCTAACACAGGGGCAGAGCCTCAAACCCAGGGCCTACCCAGGCCATGAGCCCCCCACAGCACCCCGGATTCTGTCCCGGGCACAAAGAAAAGGCAGGCAAGAAGTCCCGGCCAGAGCAGGTAGGAAGTTTGCCTCCATTCCAGGGCAGAGAAGCAGAGGTGGCCCCTATCGTGTCCCCCTGGTTCTGGCCACCACACAGCCTGAGCCTGCTGGAGATGGGCAGAGGCAGGGCTTAGGGACTGTGGGGGAGGGGAGCCAGGGCATCCTCAGCTGCATTCCCCCCACCTAACTGTCCTTAGCAGATTGCCTCCTCCTGGCTCTCCAATCGTCCCCCTTCTTCTAGAGCCCCTGGGTCCCCTCCTCCCCAGCCCTACTTGGAAATGAAGGAGAGAAAAATGCCAAGGAAATATGCTTCCAGCCCTTACCCCACCACACACACATTTTCTCCAACCTCCCTCCCATCCAGCCCCAACCCAGCCTTCACAGCAGTTTCTGGCTCAGCCATTCCCAGAGCCCCTGGGGGCTGCTCATCACCCCAGAGGGCACACGGACTTGGGTCTACCACCTACCCCCTAACTGGTAACCCATGCCTTCCTGAATGGGGCAACTTGCTTCTGCTTCTGCCCACTGACTCCAGATGGGTCCCCCGGCGTGACCACGCTCTGGGACTCCCAAACACACAAAAGAATGTCAGGCTGGCTGGCTCCTCCCCATCCTCAGCATCCTCCAAACTCCCCAGAAGCGTCCGCTACATGCCCCTAAGTGCCTAGCTTTCCCTGCATTGCCCACCCCACCCACACTCGCAACTGGCTTCCACCTTCCCTCTCTAACCCCAAGTGCACCTCTCCACAGTGGGATCCCTCACCTCTAACCCTGGGGTTCACCTTCCCACAAGAGGCTGCACCTTTCCTCCTAAACTGGGATTCCCTTTCTTCCCGACTGGACGACTTCCGTCTCTTATCCGAGGGTCCTCCCTTCTCAGAGTGGTGCCTCGCCCCCCACGACCTGGAATCTCCCTCCCATTCCATTTCAGGGTCTCCCACTCTCCACAATGGGAACTTCTGCTCTGACCAAGGGTCGCCTTCTCTCTATAGTGACGCTTTCTACCCTGACCCAGGACCCGCGCCTGCCCACAAATCAGCGTTCTACCTTTGACCCTGGGGAGCCCCCGCCCCACTGTGGGAGCTTTCACTTCCGACCCTACGTCCCTCTCATCACACCCAGACACCCACTTCTTACCCCTCTCTACCCCCAAAGTCCCCAAGACTGGCCAGACCATCTTCGCACCTCACTCCCCACCCCCATCTCTTATAATTGCGGTACCCCTCCCCACTGGGCAGGACCCTCGCTGTGGTCCGATCTCTTCCAGTGCCCTCCCTCTGCCTGCTGGCCCAGGACCAGGGTACCTCCACTTCCTGGGGGTTTCAAGACCTCTGGGGCGACTCTCCTCTTTCTCCGGCACAGACACACACTCTTCCCCCTCGGCCGCCCCCGCCGGAACTTCCGCTCGAGTCCCGGGAAACCAGCCATCGCGCTTCCGGAAGTAGCCTGGCCAGAGTTACGGAACCCGGAAGTGGGCGTCGGGCTTTCACCACATAGGAGCTGCCATGTTGGATACGGTGGGGCCACTCCCCGTAATTAAGCCCCGGAGTCACCTGCAGAATCCAGAGAGCATCCGAGACTCCCACTTGCTGTCACCACCCGTGCGCCTCCTGGAGGAAAGCTATCCGGAAGGAGAGGCATTCCTCTCAGGAGCATAAAGTTTCCCACCTTCCCATCGCCACGGGCAGCACTAAATTATGGTCTTGGGTATCTACCACTGGCTTTCATGCTCTATCCGAGGATCATGGATGGAATCCTACGCTGAACTGAAAAGGTCCTTAGAGACCATCTAGTCCTCCAGTCTTATTTTAAAGACGAGGAAATGGAGGCCCAGAGAGGAGAAGTAAACAGCAATCTCAGGATTACACTGTAATGCTGCTTCTGCACTTGCTTCCTGGGCTGTAAAATGGTGATAATAAGCACCCTGCCTACTTCAGAGCTTTGTTGGTAGGTTCGAATGAGGTCGTGCGGATGCTTTATACACTGTAAAATCAGTGTGAGGCCTTAATGACTCTAAAAAGACCCTGGGAAAATAACACAGGCCATAACAGGACAGCTGGACAGGCATCAGAAGTGTTGTCTCTGCCCTCGACAAGCAATGCCATGCAGACAGTGCACAAAATACCACCATCAATGAGCTTCAGTTGTTAAGAACAAAAAGAGCTTTATTTGGGCACCACTGAGTCACCCTTTGCTTCTTGCTCCACTGGTAAACTGGAAATGGGGCTCAGGGTCCACAGAAAGGCTAGAAGGGAAGGCAGACTGAGACGAAGGACCATGTTCCTCAAAGAACATGTGGGCATCTACAAACAGGAAATGAGTCATGTGGAAATGAGTCATGTTCATCCCTCAGCATAACCTTTTTTTGAACTGAAAGAAAACAGTAAACTTGGAAGCTCAACAAAGCACTTTTCCCCAGGGTAAGAGGCAGTTTGGTCTAAAGTCCTTAATAGGCCACAAAGACAGAGCCTAAAATACCAGGATTCCGGGCAGGAAAGCTTTGGGTCTAGAGGACCACAGCAAGCCAAGCACCCAGGACCAGAACCAGATGTCAGAGAGGAAATGAGTGGGTGAAAACAGTAGCTCCCACTCTCAACAGGATCCTTGCTGGGTCTGCTTATGAAAGAATGAACAATTCTTCCTGCAACCGCAGTCACCTGAGGCACTGTTGCACTTTGAGCAAATTCTTCAGAGCAAAGCATCTAATTCAGAGGTCTAGTCCCAGAGTTACCTGTGATTAGTGCTTTAACCAATGGAATTAATAAAGGGCTATTCTGTTTTGTTTGTTTGTTTTAAAAAAGATTTTATTCAGGGATTGGGGGAGGGGAGTAGGGGAAGGGGAACAAACAAGTTGCTGTCCTTTGGTTCTTTAGTCTAGTTGTGGAGGACGTCACTTCACTGGCCCATGTTGGTATTGTGGTCATTTAGCTCTTCCCGGATGAGGCAGTCAGTCACTGGCTGTTGGACAGTTGCTCACAGAGGCTCACAGCCACAAGAGCTGCCGCCTGCTCACGCTGGCTGCCGCCCACTCTCAGTAGCTTACAGCAGCCCACTGCAGCCTACGCCTTTGCCAGTGACTCACCTCAGCCCAGCTCCAGGTTGAGCTGTTGTTCACCATCTTAGCTGTAGAGGGCACAGCATCACTGGCCCTCATGTGGGATCCAAACCGGGGCCCTGCTGCTCAGAGCTGGCATCCCAAACCAACTCTTAACCTATAATGAGCCACTTGGCCGGCCCAGGGCTATTCTGTTTTAAGATTGCTAATGTCATTTTCACCTCCTCCAAATTAAAGCATAGCCCTTCTTTTATCTCCAAAATGATCCAACTGATATAAAGAAGCTGTGGCTGTAAACTGAGGAGTAGGATCCTCAATGCAGCAAGAACTGTATTTGCATTCTGGTTGATTTTAGAAATTCTGAGGCTCCACGAACCTTGATGGTGGCAGGCTTTACCTAGGACAGGCTGGAGAAACAGTGGGCATGTCCTCCTAACAGTGTGGGCAAACCCCTCAGAGGAATGCTCTCAAGAGGATCAGATTCAACACTCATTACCATTATCAATTATTTCTATTTTCTGCAAGGGAGAGAATACTGACCATCTGAAAACCTCTTTGTATGCACTTAAATTCTTTCCAATTGCTGCCCTAATTTTAAAAATTTAAGTCCAAAGTCTTGGATCCACCTACAGACTGCATGTGCTGCTCACTTTCCTCGCCCTCATTTCTTCTGAGCTCCAGAATCTGTTCTCTCTCATTTTTGTAAATGTCACTCCACAAGTTTCTTCCTTTCATGAGAAATGGAATATAGGTTTTTAATTTCAACTTCCTCTTTACAAAATGTGAGTGGGTGGCTGCAGGAGTGTTTTTAGCCTACTGTACAGAAGAATTAAGCTTGACCTTTCCTGGAGAAACTGATCTAGTCTTGATATAATTGTCACATTTACAATCTACCTGGTCCAAAACAATAACCAATTTCTAAGTCCCATATACTTCCCAGTAAAATAAGTTTCATCAGTACTACCAAGAACTCAAAAGAGTATACAGGGCTGGCCGTGTGGCGCGTTGTTTAAGAGCTGGCTTGGGATGTCAGCTCTGAGCAGCAGGGCCCCGGTTTGGATCCCACATTAGGGCCAGTGACGCTGCGCCCTCTACAGCTAAGATGGTGAACAACAACTCGACCTGGAGCTGGGTTGCCGTGAGTCGCCAGCAACGGCATAGGCTGCAGTGAGGCTGCAGTGGGCTGCCGTAAAGCTACCATGAGTGGCTGACAGCCAGCGTGAGCTGCCAAGAGCTGCTGTGAGTGGCCGTCCAGTGGCCAGCGACCCATCTGCCCCACCCGGGAAGAGCACAATGATAATACCAATATGGGCCAGTGAAGCAACGTCCTCCACAACTAGATTGAAGAACAAAACAACAGCAACTTGTCTGTCCCCCTTCCCTCAATTCCCCAGCACTGTTCCCATCCCCCCAATTCCCCAATAAAAGTCTTTAAAAAAAAATTAAAAAAAGAATATACAAACATTAAGTCTGGCAAGGATTTATTAGGAAGCTTATTTAGTCACAGTGAATAAAAAGTCATGAACAGAAGCAATGAGAGCTCCAAATTCTGGCACTTGGTTTACAACACTAGTTAGAAGCTAATAAACATTAAGGATGTCCCAAGGGGAATCTTACCTAAGTCCCAATCTTACCTCGACCAGGATACCCACAAACATAGTAATGATGCCCATGCTCTCCCCAGACTGCTTACCTAGGCAGTAGGAAAAAAGACCTTCTCCTCAAGCTATTATTAATTAAGCATCATCATGAGATTCCTGCTCTTCTAGCTATAACCATGGAAGGCTACTACTGCATGACAGACAACTCCAAGTTGGGCAACTTGACAAGAATGCTGAACGATGACAGGGAGAAGGGGCAAGCAGGGACATGAACTTCTAGTTGGAGACCCTCCTGATGGCTAATGCAAACACAAGGCTGAGGCTTCAGAAAGTTTACTACAGCCCAGGAATAGTTTCCATTTTTTAAAAAACAAGTCACACAAAAATCCTGCCACAAAACAAGACACTTGGAATCCCATGGCCATAATGACTGGAAAGGCAGATATTATCCATGACTGCCAGATGCTGACCAGCCCAAGACCCAATTTCTACAGGGCCCTAGAGAACCACGAATTGTCCCCTGGCATCCACACAACCCTCCCTGGTGGTGTGGTATCTTCCATAGGCCAGGTTTCTGCAGCGAGGCCCAAAGACAAAGCTTGGTAAAGGCTGTGGCAGCCAACTCCTCTGGAGCCCCATCTCTTCGTCCTTCCCAACAGGTTGTCATACATCTTCACTGACACAGGGCCTCAGTGGGAGCCTTGGCAGCCCTTAGGAAATGAAGTGTGTCTGTGGGGTAACCTGGTGGACCCTGTGGTCTGCTGGGTTGGCTGATGCTTCATAATTGCAGATGGTCACTTCATGTCGGCGAAGCTGCAAGAAAATGGAGAGCCTGGGTCACCTGGCCAGTCCCCAGACCACACACTGGAGTAGTCCTTATTCAGGTCCATTTCTAGAAGTCATCATCTAAGCTCTTCCCCGTTCTGATACTTTTTTATCTTGAGAAGTCTGCCAAGTCATTATCAATGAGTCACCCGGTAACTTATCAGAATCATTCCCCCACTACACTGGAGGCACCATGAGAAGAAGACCATGTCTATCTTGTTTATCATCTTATTTCCGATGCCTAGAACAAGAACGGTTACCAAAAATGTTGAATGAAGGAAACAATTTTAAAGTAAAAAACTGAATTGGTATCAGTTGTGTTATTCCACCCCCTTAAAAATGCCTATAGCCAGCCTGTCAAATGGGAGGGACAGGTGACAGTGATGACCAAGAAAAATTATAAACAGACGGAGTATTCAATGTCTCAATTTGCTCTTTTCCGTTCTTTAAAGCTCCCACTACCACAGCATGAAGATATAGACACATATATACATATATATGGAGGGGAAAATAACGTTTCCAACCCCATCTTACCTCAGTCCATTCTCCTCTCAGGCCAATATAAAAGACCTTCGTGGTATCTGCTCCAAAGTTTTTTGAAATATGAATTGAGAGATGATAGACATTGGAAAAACGAGAAATTCTAGAGCATGAAAGGGATGGGGAGAGAAGACACAGGTTAGAGTTCAATGAGTATCTCACCACCATTTCAAAAACAATTCCAGCTTCAACTTGTGGTAAAACTCAGGCAAATGTCAGAGAACATTCCTGGGGTCTTATGTCTCATTCTTCTCCTTTGGACAAGCAAATAATTCCGTGCACATTTACTGAGCATTTGCCAGACCCTGCCCAAGGCAGTAGGGATAGAAAAAAATGAATCTACACTGCCCCCAGCCTCACGGAGCAGGATTTAGAAATGCTGTATAACAAGCAGGGATTCTAAAGCAAGTTCAGTGTTGACCTCACCTTAGGAAGAAGAGAGAACTAGTGAGGAAATAAGGTGGTCACGTGTCCCTTAGCCTGCTGTAAGCCAACTATGCACAGAGGAATTTTGAAAACACTTTTCCTAAGCACATCTGAGGAGCTCATTCAGATCTGCCAATTGCTCACAAGTTAACAAATCTGTGGCTTGCACCAAATCTCTGCCAAAAATTGACCAAGCCAAGGATCAAGCCTACTCCATTGTTTTAACTTGTTTCTGATATTATGAGAGTAGGAGATGGGCCAAAAATAAACTGCAAGCCTGGTAAGTGCTAATGCATTGATGCTCACTAAAAATGAGGGAGTGCCTGCTGCTCCTCAGAAGCCACAGAGAACAGAAGAGAGGCCCAGTGCTTACTTTGTAGCATATTCTAATTCTCCTGTAGGATCCCGGTTCAGACTAAAGGTCTGATCTGGCTCCCTGTCTGTATCACCAAAGGACATCTGTGGAATGTTCTTGTACCTAAGAAAGCAAAGGGAAGAAAAATCAAGAAATGTACATTGTTACATCTTTCAATTTTTCAAAACTTCCTCCTGGTATTCAACTGCCTTCAGTTCTATGAAAAGGAGATCAAATTTTGGAAATGGCATTTTACTAGTACTGATACAAAAATATCTTTAATCCAACAAGAAAAGAGCTGAGAATTGCAACAGAAACCAATGGCATCCCTGAGTGGATTAGGATCACATGAGAAGCAATGCACAAAGAGATAGCTCAAACTAGGTCACACGCAGCAAATGCATGGAGAAAATAAGCAACTCAGCACGCTCAGACCAAGCTGAGGATGTTTAAATAAAACAGCTTACTCACGGGGGGGAGGGGGGGGATACTTTGGCAGAAACATATTAAATACAGTTAAGAGATAAGATCAGGTAACCCATTGCTCAAGCATTTTATTGTGTTCTAAATTACCCTTTATACTGAGTCATTTTACAATTCTTTTAAAAAATACAATTTGGGGATTACTGTTGTGAAAGGAGCACAAAAGGCTGCAAACTCACAATGGGCTTTTGGAAAGTCAAGTAAAACTGCTAGTAAAGAAGACATTTTTCAAGGAAACCACTGTCTCTATAACTCACAAATTCTCAAGGACCAAGCTGCACACCCCCACAATCTCTATAGTGTTTTATTAACACACCCACACAGGAGGGGCCTAGGTGTTAGCTGCAGCAAAATGCATGTGATTCAAGAAAACAAATGTTTGCTTCAAAGTGTTTCTAAGAATGATGCACAGAATAATAATAACAACAGTGAACATTTATGAGCAGCATTATGAGAGGCAGTATAGCAGCACTGTAGTTCAAAGCAGTGTCTCTGGAGCCAGGCTTCCTAGGTTTAAAGACTGACTCTGTCACTTGCCAGCTGTGTAATTTTGGGCAAGTGATTTAACCTCTCTATGTCTGTTTCCTCATCTGTAAAATGGTGATAGTGATAGTACATATCTCATAGTTGACGTGGAGATTAAACTAAATTAATTCTAAGACACATATATTAGCAAAGTTTTACTATAGAAAATTTCAAACACACACAAAAGCAGCGAGAATAATATAATGAATCTCCATATGCATATCACTCAGCTTCAATAATCCACAGGATGCTGATTTTGTCTATCAACCCCATTTTGTTTGTGCTTGATATTTTAAAGCAATCCCAAACATCATTTCACTCATACATGTCAGTAAGTATCTCTAAAAAGGACTTCCTAAAAAAAAAAACCTATCATAGCACTTTACAAAAATTAACAATTCTTTAATATCATCTAATACCCAGTCTGTGTTCAAAGTTCACTGATTTAAGTCTCAACTTTTCTGGATGTTTCGATGGCATGTCATAGTGGAACAGGCAATAGTTTCTTTATTAATGGTACATAAAATACTGGTGCATTTTACAATTGATGATAGACTCAGAAAAGTATAACATGTATAAAGTACTTAGAACTGAGGGCTATGTTAAGTATTTTGCACCTGCTCTTCCAAAATTGGGCACTTGCTGTATTCCAGACTTATTATAAGCTCTTTACGTGTTTGTTTGTTTGTTTGAATTGGGGAACAGTGTGCTTTTCCAGGACCCATCAGCTCCAAGTAGTTGTTTCCATCTATTATAGTTGTGGAGGGCGCAGCTCAGTGGCCCATGTGGGGATCGAACCAGCAACCTTGGTGTTATGAGCACTGCACTCTAACCAACTAAGCTAACCGGCCGCCCCCTCTTTATATGTTTTATCTCATTTAATTTTCTCTACAAACTTATGAGGTTCATAGTATTACTATTGCCATTTAACACAAGAAAATCGAGATTAGAGAAAGTAAGAAATGTCCCAAAGTCATGCAGCAAGTGGTACAGCCAGAATTTGAACCCCAGCAGTTTATTCCAGAGCCCACTCTTAACCACAACGCAACATGAATGTCTAGCCTTCTCAAGCCAATCCATCTTCCACATAAATTAGTCTCCAAAAAGCATCAACTCAAACATACTTTGGTTCTCTAAAATGATTAAATACATAGAGTTGCTTTCAAATGCATATTTCTAACATTCAAAAATAGGGTCAATTTCTTAAACCTCTTATATTGGTCAATTTTTCAGAAGAAATTCTTTTTATGTAAAGTTCTTCTGATATGTTTCTCCAACATGCTGAAAGTGGTTCTCCTTTCTTTTAGGCAAGTTTTTAAAAAAGGGAATACTAGCTCTGGTGGTAACAGATACAGTGTTACAAGAGGTATTATATATAAAATTTTACTAACTAAAGGCCACGCAAATTCAGGTGGAGTTAATTCCACGTCAACAAAACACATGCAAAGATTACAACTGTATGAAATAGTAAGGGGACATTTTGAAGCTAACCCCAAGAGTAGAATCTATAAAGACCATTTAAGATCTGCAGCTGGTTACTAAGAAAACTGCAAAGTCATCAACAATTGGCACTTATAGGATGCTCTCTGAATGAATGGTGCCACACAGGCACTTTGAAAAGAGCCAACCTGTTGGCCTTAAAGGTGCTTAATCTAAAAAATTTGTTAATTCAGGGAGGTAAGTGTATTATGATACAGAACAGGACCAAGGTTTTTTTTTTAAGGGGGAGAGGAGACATTTAACCCAGTAACAAGAAAAAACTATTTTATTCTGGGATCAAGTGCTACCAGAGGAAAGAGAGAGAGAAGGAGGCGCTTCTTGAGGGCCTAAGCCCTTGCCACTTACAGTCTCATCTCAGAGGGGTGTGAGTCATCATCCTCTCCTATTATAATGATGCCTTTGAGCTTGACATTGCCCGTAAATCTGCCAGAATGCAAAAGAGATGGTTGTCAACATGGGTTTGAATCTCTGCTTAGCTGTGTGACCCTGGCCAAGACCCTCCCCTTTCTGGACTTCAGTTTGCTCATGTGTCAGGCTTGTGCTAGAGAATTTCTAACATCCTGTCTGCCTCTGGCATTTTGCAGTTCTAAGAAATTTGCCTTCATGTCTCAGTTCTCTTTCAACAAATACATCTTTTCCCGTCTGCACCAAGAAAGCTATGACGATGCCTCCTCAAACCCACCACGGTCATTTACCCCATTTCTAGAAACAGTTGGTGGTTGACACAATCAATGAATGAATTCTGTTAAAGGAACTGGGTACAGTCTATGTAGCCTGAGGCAAGCGCAGATTAGATACTTACGGAATATTAAACAGAAGCTCTTCATCGGCATCACTTTCAACAAACTGGAGGGGACGGGGAGGGGAAGGGAGAAAGCAACAAATATTTGCTGAGAGCCTACAATTTCAGGCACCCTGTTCTACAGTTGGAGTGCAATGCAAATACACAGTCCACCTCCCTGGGTTTTCCAGCACTTAATAGTCACAGACCATCCAATCAGAGGGTTCTTAATGGGGAGCCCATGAATGACGTTCCAGGGCCGACTAGCCTCCTGAAACGGTGTGCTAAGATCTGTGCCTAAGTGGTTCACAACTCTCAAATGGCTCTGTGACCCCACCATGGGAAATGCTCTAGACAGGATAACACACTTCATGTCCCTCGGCTGGTCTTTGGTCTTCATCAGGTGATAGGATCAGGCAAGTCACTGGTACTAGTTAGTGGTCAACTGGTAGGAAAAGCGCCCTCGCGGCCATCCTCCCTCACTGCCCACAGAAGCCCGGGAACAGAACGCTGGCTGTGGAAAGCCAAAGCGCCCTTTCCTGCTCTGGGCCTCAGTTCCTCTCTCTGCAAAATGGGGAGACTCGATCCTGTTCGGCTCCCAAAGGGCTGGCGGGAGACCGGCAAGGCAAAGCGCGTGGCAATCGGGCTGTCGTTATTTTTAACTTCAGGAATGAGGCTGCCAGAGAAGAGCAGCTCCCCGCCTCGCCCGGCCCAGGCCCTGGAAGGCCCACCTTGGAGCGGTCGGTCCGCTCCTCCCACGGCTTGAAGACGCCGCGGCCGCTGCCCTCACGGCTCTCGTTGAGGCACTGCAGGCGCTCCAGGTCGATGCGCAGGTACAGGCCATAGGCCAGACCGCGCTGCTCGGGTGGCTCCTCCCGCTCGGCGGCGCACTGGCAGCCGCCCCCGCCATGGCTGTGTCCGTGAGACATGGCGACACCGCCGTCCGCGCTTCCTCTCAGCCGGGTCGCCGCAATTAGCACCGCGCTCCCGCCGCTCCCGCCGCCCCCGCCGCCAAGCGCGCCGTGGCCGTCGCGTCGTAAAAGGCGCCCCTGTGCGGCGCATGCGTCCAGGGAGGAAGGGGGCGGGGCTCGGAGAGGATTGGCGTTTGACAAGCGCTTTCAGGTGCCTGGGAATTAATGTTGATTCTTTCAGTTCTGGGGACGGATGCTGTTGCCCTCCCAGCTTCACAGATATGGAAACTGAACAGCAGAGAGGTTAGTTAGGCTGGCGTTCCGAGTAAATGGTGGCGCTGGGTTTCGGACCCTCCTCGTTTTGGGGAGCTGGTGGAGGCAAGCGTGCGCAACGATAAGGCCCTGAGGAGGAGGGAGCACAACGTTATCACCGCCTCACATGTGCACGTTTAGGCGCTTAGAGCTCACAGACCCACTTTTCATAATCTCCACAGTGGGCTTAGCCGTCGAGAGCATGGTCTTTATGGATGCCGGATCTGAAGACAAGTCCTGGGTCCGCTACTAACGTATGACACTCTGAATAAATCATTTCCCCCATCCCGAGACTTCGTTTCCTCTTCTGTAAAGTGGGAATAATACCTGTTTCATAGGATCGCAGTAAGTATTAAATGAAAAAAATGCACTTAAAGAACTCATCACAATGGCTGACACATAGTAGGAATTCAATAACTGAGTCAGATCTTGATTCGAATCCAAGCACCGCCACTTACTAGCTGTGTGGCCTTGGGCAAGTGACTTAACCTCTCTGAGTCTCAGTTTACCCCCTTTAAAGTACAAGGATTGGACTAGATGACCTTTAAGTCCCCTCCCCCTGTGATTTTTCAGAGCAGTTTTTTCAAACGGCTGGTTGTGACCCATTAATGGGGCTTAAAAATCCACTTAGAGGATTGTGACCAGCATTCAAAAAATGAAATAGAATAGAATAAAAAGTTCAGAATGTATCACACATTTTAAGTGTCAATTTTGGAACTTTTGTTTCAGTTTCGGGTTTATGTACCCAGCTGCATTGTAAAATGTTTTATCATATTGTGGGTTGAGGTTAAAAGAATTGAAAGCCACTGTTTAGAGTTGAAATGATTTTGGTTTCAGGATAGAATGTGTTCTTACTTCTTGGTGAGGAGGGGAAAAGATAGAGGATGTAGAGAGAGTTATGGGATATTCCGGATATTGCCTGCCCTTCACTTCTGGCTCTGGAGTGTCCAGACAAGACTGGGGGCTGAGGCAATACAAACCAAAATAACCCTATGTTCAAGCTCATTCAGAAATACTTTGATGTCCTAGTTCAATTCTTTGTGAACTAGGCAAGCCTGGTTCTGGTTCATAATAGCTCATTGTCATGCTTTCACATCACAGTTTCAGGCAAGGGTCCTGGCACGTGGTAGAAGCTCAGTAAATGTTTGTTTAATTGAACGATACACTCAGTAGTCTTTCTTTGGAAAGACAGTGTTCCACGGCAGGACTAACACAGCCTTTCTCAGGACTTCTACTCAGTTTTGGCTTCTTTCCTGTCACTTTTTCATTATTATTATCCTTTACTGATTTGTTGAGTACTCTGTGCTGGTCCTTGTGCTAAGCATGTTCTTTGTCACATGAACGTTAAGAGATAGTAGAGTTATCCAAAGTCATCTCTAACTTGAAGATGAGGAAAACTGAGGCTGAGTTAACAAAATCAAATGAGGTTAGGAAGTAACCAGGCTTTGAGCACATTCTATAGTTTTCTGAAAAAAAGGTGCACATGAAGTAAATATGTTGTATCAACTGGCTTATGCTGTGTAACCCCCAAACTTAAAAGCTTTAAACAACAAACATTTATTATTTCTCATGACTGAAGATTGCCTGGGAAGTCCTTTTCTGGGCTGGTTGGCTCGGGCTAGATAGTTTGCAATGGCCTCATTCACATGTCTAGTTGATATTTATGTCAGTTGAGGTAAAAGGCCATGTGTCTCCAGCAGGCTACCTGAGCTTAGTCAATGGCAGAGTTGCAGAGTTCCAGGAGCAAAAGAAGGAAGACTCAGCTGCGCAAAGACTTTTAACTGTCCGCTTCTGCAGTTTTTGCTAATGTCCCTTCAGCCAAAACAAATTTCAATGACCAAATCCAAATTCAAGGGGGGAGGGATAGACTTCACCTTTTGATTGATGGGAAGAACTGCAAAATACTGTGGATCCCCGCCCACCCCCACCCCCACCCCGCTGCCAATATACCTGTATTAGTTATCTTCTTGTGTAACAAATTACTCCCAAACTTAATGACTTAAAACAGTAATGAACATTTATCTCACAATTTCTGGCTTATGTAGCTGAGTGGTTCTGGCTTGTCTTCCAAAAGCTTGACTGGGGCTGTAGGATCCACCTCCAAGATGATACACTCACATGGCTGGCACGTTGGTGCCAGTGTTGGCAGGAGGCTGTTGCCATATGGACCTCTCCATAGGACTGCTTGAGTGTCCTCATGATGTGGTGGTGGCTGGTTTTCACCAGAGCAGGTGATCCAAGAGAGAGCAAATAGAAACCACCTGTTTTTCATGACTTAGCCTTAGTAGTCAAATACTGTCAATTCTGCAATATCTCATAGGTCAGCCATATTCAAGAGTGTGAATACCAGGAGGTAGAACTCATCAGAGGCTACCTTAGAGGTGGCTACCACACTACCTTACATGTTAACTGACCACTGAAAATCTCTTTATTCTTCTCTTCTATGTATTTGGTAATTTGGCTGAGCAGTGAATATTTCAGAATTTTGAAGATATTGCTCTGTTTTCTTCTAGCTTTGAGAAGTACAATGTCGTTCTGATTCCTGATTCTTTGTCTGGGTTTCCCCCCACTCCCTTTCTGAAAGCTTTTAAGATCTTCTCTTGGTCCCTAGTAGTCTGAAATCTGATGCTATTGTGGCTGATTAGTCATTCATTATGCTGGGTACCTGATGGACTCTTTCAATTTAGAGCCCTTAGAACAGAATGTGAGCATACAGGTTAGGATATCTGCACGCATGTGTACAAGGCCCCTTGCAGGGAAGCATATTTAGGGGTATGAAGAGAAAGGGAGGCGGGGCTAGGGTCCTGCTTCCTCCCCTCCCCCCCCATCCCCACTCCAACCACCTTCTAGTGCAGAGTTCCAAGGGACTCAGAAATTTGAATGTGGCCTCCCAGGATTGTGAAGGTTTATTTGTCAAGGTAGCAGAATAGCTGTATTTAGTTAACGTTTTATGAAGTCCATTTATAACTTCAAGTATGCTTCCATTTGTACTCTTGCTCCATTCCCACAAATATTAGGGATGGCCTGCTGGGCAAGTTGCTTAGCTTCTCTAAGCCTCACATTTGTCGTATATAAAATGGGAATAATAACAGTACCTACTTTGTAGGATTTTATTATGAGGGTAATACGAGATAAAGCATGAAAAAGTGTTTGGAACAATATCTGTTCCATAGGAAAAGGTTAAACCGTGGGCCGGCCGAGTGGCGCGATGGTTAAGAACTGGCTTGGGACGCCAGAGGGCCCCGGTTCGGATCCCACATATGAGGGCCAGTGACACTGCCCTCTACAGCTAAGATGCTGAACAACAGCTCAACCTGGAGCTGGGCTGCTGGGAGTCACCGGCGACGGTGTAGGCTGCAGCCCCTGTGGCAGTGGGTTGCCATGGGCTACGGTGTGTAGCCAGCAGCCAGCGTGAGCGGCCAGCAGCCGCAGTGAGAGGCCGTCCAGAAGCCGGTGACTGATCTGCCTCACCCAGGAAGAGTGCAATGATGGTGCCAACTTGGGCCAGTGAAGCAATGTCCTCCACAACTAGACTGAAGAACAAAAACAACAGCAACTTGTCTGTTCCCCTTCCCCCAATTCCCCAGCACTGTTCCCATCCCCCCAATTCCCCAATAAAAATCTTAAAAAAAAAAAAGAAAAGAAAATCCATTTATAAAAAAAAAAAAAAAAAGGTTAAACCGTGTCTATTATTGCCAAGAGCAAGACTTTTGGCTCAGCGCCCCCGTCTGGTAGGATTAGAAACTGCAATTGCTCAGAGGGCTGGATTTGGAAGAAACAGGCCTTTACAAGGTAGCTCAGCTCTGATTTGGGAATAATGCTTTTTTACCTCTGCTTACTCCGCCTGTCCCTTCTCTTGCACTCCTATGTTGCAGGGATGTCTGAAGACAAATGGAATCTCACTGGCTTCTAGGACTACTCTGGGGGCAGGAAGGAAAAGCTTCCAATATTTTTCTTTCTCTTACTCCCAGGCTCTGTCTGCAAACATTTCGGTAGCTCAACAACTGATTAATTTGTATCAGTTTTCCCTTGTCTACTGTCTCAATTAGGCTGGGAGAAACTAACTGGTTTTCTGTTACTTTTGAATGCTTCTTTGTGGCAAGTTGAGAATATAGTAACAATAATAGCCATCAACCATATGGCACCAATAATGTGCCAAGCACTGTCTCAAGGGCTTTACTTCTGTTATTTTTTAATCTTTATAATTACAGGTGTCCTATTATTAGCTTCATTTTAAGTGAAACAATAGGGGCACAGACTGGCTAAGTAACTTGCCCGAAGTTACACAGTTGGTTAGTAGTGGAACTAGGATTTAAATCCAGGCAGTGGGCTTCCAGAGTCTGTGTTGTTAACCACATTGAGCCTTCTCCAAATATTAATTAACATTTATTAAGTACTTACTATGTGCCACGCTGAAACCCCAGAGCTCAGGCTCACCACCATGCTGCATTTACCAGCTGGGTTACCTTGGACAAGTCATTTCCCTGAGAGCATCAGTTATAATAATCCTTTACTAAATGCCCCTTCTGTGTTGGGTATGTCACCTAACATCAACATCCTGAGCTCTTTTTATGTGCCAGGCGCTGTTCTAAGCACTTTACATTTTCACTCGTTAAATCATTATATGATAGCTCTGCAAGGTTGAGGTATTTTCCTCATTTCTGGAGGAAGAAACGGACACAGAGAGGTTAAGTGACTTGCTTGAGGCCACCCACCTAGGAAGTGTGGGATTCGAGGCTGGGTGGCCTTGGGGATTCCCTGAGAGCCCAGGCTACCGTAACTGCCTTTGGAGTCTTTGGTGCTGTTAGCAACTATTTCCAGTTCTCTGCATCCAGGCATATGGATGAACTGTACTTTTCTGTCCTCTTGAATTTAGGTGCAGCCAATGAAATATGATAAAAATGATCGATGTCACTTCTGGACATAGCTTAGCAGCCACTCAGCATTCTTCATTTGTCTTGAAAATCTTAGAAGCACAGGGATGGTGCCTCCCTTTAGCATTGGGTCCCTGCGTGAGGATGACATAAAGCAGAGCCCCGTCATGAGTGAGACACAAACATTGTTGTTTCAAGCCACTGAAATTTGGCAGCTGTTACTGTAACATACCTAAGTCCAGGGTTCTTCAGCCTCGGCATGACTGACATTTTGGGCTAGATAAGTCTTTGCTGTGGGGGCTGTCCTGTGCAGTTTGGAATGTTTAACATTTTTTTGCCAAGTGTCTTTTGGGGGGCAGAATCACCTCCGATGGAGAACTACTGCCCTGGCCTGTCCTAATTAGTGTGATTACCCTGCCAGTCTCAAATAAACCCCATTTAGGCATGACTTCTTAGTTTTTAGAGTCTGCTATTTAGTCGCATCAATTTTCATAAACGAGATTGGTCCATAACTTTTTGTGGCACAATCTTTATCCAGTTTCCATATCAGTGTTATACTGGTTTCAATAGCATTTTCCTTCTTTTTCTTTGCTTTGGAATAGTTTAAGTGGCATTGGTATTACCTGTTCCTTAAGATTGAAAGAATGCTCCCTATGAAACTGTCTTGGGTCTGGGGCTTTGTTTCAGGGGAGGTTCAACAACTACTTTCTCTATTTATTCTATGACAATTAGTCTGTTTAGACTCTCTATAAGGAGTCAATTTTTGTAAGATGTATTTCTCTGGAAACCTGTTCACTTCACATATAGGTTTCCTGATACATTGGCATACAGTTGTGGCACAGGGTTCAGAAAAACTGGGACATTTTACATAGAAGTCTAGATTTCTCTTTTCTTTAAAACTCAGCAGATGTGGCAACACTGGGCCCTCCCTTCCCCCTGGGAACAGTCAGGTGGAGCTAATGTAAAGAGCTCTCATTTTCCTTCTGTTTCCACCACTCCCCACTCTTACCAACTCCTGGTATTTGAGTGTGTGACCCCTGAGTTGAGAAGAAACTTGGTCGAGTCTGCCTTTTTGGTGTTTGTTAGGGACTATAAGGTAAGAGACCTGATAGAATAGAGGAATCCAAAACAAAAAGGTTGAACTAACCCTGTCTGGGGCAGTAGGGGCTAAGATTTCAGTTATCAGGAAGGACTCGCTGACCTCCAAATAGTTCTTAGCTTGTGACCCTAAAGCTTCAGTTCCCATCAGTGGGAAACATACATGTTCCTTTCGTCCTACATTTAGAGGGAATGAAGGAATGACACTAAAATGAGCTCTCCTTCGCACTGAATCCCTACAAGAATTCCTGTGGGGTGCCATTATTACCATTGCACAAATGAGAATGAGGCTCAGACAGGTGCCACAAAGCCAGAGAGAACCTGGATCTCATTCTAAAGCTCACGCATTGCTTTTGCACTACGCTAGGCACTCCCAACCGAGGCTGCTCACCACATTCATCCCTGCAGGCTTGTAAGAAAGTATCTATTTCCAGATCTTACCTTTGACCTATTTGAACAGATTGCTGCAGCGGGGCCCAGAAATCTGTATTTTAAACCATGAGTTCTGCAGTTGTTTGATTATTGCCTCCCCTATGAGATGAACACTCCATAAAGGAGCCGTGTCTGTTATTCAGTGACAGAGAGTGGGGGCAACCCAAGTATTTGCTGTGGGACTGAATGCAAGCTTCCCGGTCCTGACCCACAGGCCAGCTGTGAAGAGCTTTGTGACAAACCCTCTGGAGCAGTTCTCAAACCTTAAGAATTACTTGGGTTGAGAATTGCTTTTTTTTAGTGTACACTCCGGGGGCCTAACCCCAGAGATTCTATGCTTGAGAAACACAGGTCTAGCTATGAACTTTCCTCAGGAGATTTTGAAAGGGGTTGAAGACAGTCGGCATCACAGGAGGAGAAGTCTGGGGGCCCGTGAAGACCATCAGCCTATTTCACCAATAATCCGGAAGAGACTCGAGTGGATGGGGGAACCCCAGTGGAGAAACACTGTGAAGGAGGTAAGCCAGGTGGAGGATTCTTCTGGGCATCAGTTTTGTGCAGCAGAGAAGGAAATCATTCTTAGAAATGCTTACAGCCTTGGCCCTGGTATCCTTTTGCATTGGAGTCAGCTTTGCTACAGAAGCCTGGCATTGGGTATGTGTGTTTCTGTACGAAATGGTTAAACGTGACTGAGAATGTGTTTGGGAGTCAGTCCAATACACAGCACCACTGCTCACTGATTATGTGACCTTGGGCAAGTTCTTAATTTCTCTGTGCTTCTGTTTTCTCATTTTTTAAATGGGGTTGTGATGACCTACCTTGTAGGGTCATTGGGATAACTGAGACAATGTATTGAGACAGAAGGGTGCCTGGTCCATAGTAAGTGCAGAACCAGTGGGGTCCGTTACTCTTACCTGGCTGTAAGCGCCAGACTTGATTGTGTTACTCTGTATTCCAGGGTCTAATACAGGCCCTGGCTCAGCAAATGGTGAATTAATGAGACAAAGGGCTAACTTATAATTCTGGGTAAAGCCATCTGTCAGATACCATGTTCCATAATTAACTTCAATGCATAGTAATTTCTAAGTGAGAATTAGATCCAGTAAAGAACTGGGAAAAATAAATCCAGACCATACACCAAGAATGCCCGCTTTAGGAGAGAAGGGATAATAAAACCACGTTGCTGTGTGTTTAGGTTTGATGGAAGATCGGACCCACTCGATGTGATGTCCACAGGGGCTGAAACCAAGCCCTTCCTTGGCTCCATTAGCCAATGCTGAAACTGGGGTTGCTCAGCCAGGGCCCACACAGCAGGTTCTCATTAATGCCTTGTTGACAAGACCTTTCTGCATTAGTGTTCATTATGCTCTCATGAGGAAGCCAAGACTGAGGAGACCTACCAGAGTCTTTCACACAACCCCAAAGTGACAGAAAGGTGGAGTGGCACACGCTTTGTAGCCAAAGAATGTGGATTTCAAATCATTTCCTTTGTTACGTACTAGCTATGCGGCTATGACTGTTATTTCACCCCTCTGAGCCTCAGCTTCTAACTGTAAAATGGGGTTAACAGCTCAGTTCCAGGGTTCCAAGTATAACAAAGGACAGTACCTGGTCCCCACTTAGGTGCTCATCTTTATCCGAGTTCCTCCCTTTGCTCACAGGGCTCTTTCCCCTTTCCCAGTCCTGCTATTGCTACAGATAAAAATCCAACATCCTTTACCGCCCAGCCCAAGGATTCAGATCTCGGCCTCCCAGCCCAGGAATCAGACATTTTCTTACAGACTTCCATTCTCTGACACAACAAGGGAGAAGGTAAGAAAGACAACAGTATATAGGATTTTTGTTTGTTTGTTTTTTTATTTAGACATGGAATTTTTCTTCCTTTTCATATAACTTATCTAATTAAAATATTCATCTTGGTAGTTACCACAAAAAAGTAACATAGAAAATTGTATTTACATTTTGGGACCAAAATACAAATGAAGAGCAGGATGATACCTTGCTCCTTTCCCTCCCCCTTCCCGGAAAGAAAGAGATAGCCCAAAGAAACTGCTCATTACACCAACGATCACAAAGGGTTAATTTGTCATTTGGTGATTTGTATGTAGTGTAGCACAGAAAAAAAAATTGCACACGTTTTCACAAATGAGACCAAAAGTTTGACATCCTGCGTCTGTTCCACAGCCATTTCAATTACCCAGGTGAGAGGGTTGTTTAGAAATTTGGCTTTTCCTCTACCCTCCTTACTCTTCTCACCAAGTCCCACCCCTGATGCAGACACTCTTGGAGGGAGAGGGGGAGACCTGGTTCTCTGCAAACAGGGCGATCAAAAGTCCTTATGGTAGTGATGTTGGGATGAACGTATACATGTCTTTTGCCCCCTCCCTGCTTAAAGATGCCTAATAAAGGAAATTAAATCATACACAACTGAATCTGAAATATGAAAAACTGGTTTCAATGACAAAGACTCCAACACACAGCTAAGAGACAAGTTCAAAGTAGTGGATACTTCGAGGAAGCTATTCTAGACAATAGATACCTGGCACCTGACCCAGATGCTCATTTGGTTTTAAAGGTAAGAGGCTTCCTAATATCAGATTTGGGGAGCAGGCTAGGGGAGAGGGGTGGAATAGTAACAAATAATCAAGAGAAGTAATGCTTTACCCAATTAAAAAAATACAGCAAATTAAAACACAGCAATACTTATATGTCCCGTCGCAGCAGGCATCCCACAGAGAAACACTCACTGAACACAGCAGCTCTTGCTGCACAGACTTCCTGCGCTGCTCCAGAACCTTCAAGGTTACCTCACTGAGGCCTCCAGGCTGGTTAAAAATGGTGAGCTCCATATTCTGGGCTTTGGGTGAGCTTGTGGAGGGTCCTGACTGCCAAGCTCTTTAGGCTGTCACACTAATCACGCCCTCAGCCTACTTATCAGGTTTCGTAAGGACGGGCACCTGCTTCCACCTGGGTCACAGCCGGGTGGGTTCCTACTAGATCAGTGCTTGTCACAGCCAAGTCGGGCACGGATACTGTCCTCCAAGTTCTCAGCTTGCTCCTCCGGCCGCTCGGAAATGAGAGCCGCCCTTCCCAAACCAGAGGCATGGCCTTGCAGATCTCCCCAACCCTGACACCACTGCTCACACACTTTCATCAACTGGGCCCTTCCCTCCAAATTCTGGCTTAAAAACTCAAAAAAGCTTCAGCTGCAAAGTTCTCTACAAAACATAGCAAATTGTTGTGCTCTTCCAGTCACATGATCTTACCTTTTAAAGGAAGCAAAAACAAAACCAATTTCCAACATAGCATTACAACCTTTAAAATCATTCACTTCTAGTAGTAATTCACATGGATCAAGACATTAAAGTGCTGGCTTTTAAAATTCTGAAGTTGTATGGTGGGGGCGAGGGGCTACAAAAAGCCCTGCCATGTATTTATGGGTTTTCCCCCATGCTGGTGGGAGAAGCAAAAATAGGGGAGGAGAAAAAAACCCTAAAGTTTTGAATCAGAAACTGGAAATTGTAAAAATGCTGGGTTTCTGTGCAAATTGATCTCCCAAGGTTCTGTGTCCTCTCGTGAGTCTCAAAAAAAAAGGGGGGGGAAGCGTGGGGACTGGCAAAAAGGATGAGGGTAAGACTCTAGACCTTTCCAAATAACTTCCCTTAATAAATACTATTTAACGAGTAAGAAAGAGATGCACCTGCACAGGAATGCAAAGCTACACTGAGCAGGGTCTCAGGGGAGGGGTCTAACCTGAACACTTCCGTCTGCACGCTGAGGCTCCCCTCTAGGACGGGCAGCCCAGGGCCCATGCCATGCCCTACATGGGACAGGCAGCACACAGGCTCTGGGGATGCCCAGTCCTCCCTCTGGACCAGTCCATCAGGAGAGGTAAACTGGGACAGCGTAATGGCTTTCACTTGGCTTCCGTCTAACAAAGGGCCCTAAAAACAAAAGGCTAAGTGTGTGGTAGAGGACCAAAAAAACCCCAAAAAACAAAACAAAAAAAAAACCTGGGGGTAATATAAATACAATCTGGGGGCAATATTTATTAATTAAAACTATGTCTTATAGTTTACAAAGAAGCTAATTAACAACAAAAGTATAATTGACCTTAAAATCCTCAGTGAGACTGAGGCTTCACATCTTCTTCCGAGTTCTGAAGTGTTCTCCAGGCAGGGAGGCAGTGGCTGCGGCTCACAGGTTCACAGGTGCGCCACCTGCAGACTGCAGGAGTCAGAGACCAAAGGTTCTACAGAGCAGAAGAGTCTGGTCTCCTGTGGAAGTTCCATTCCCCAACCCCCACTGTCCTTGTATTCCTCACCCCCCAATTCTATTGCCAAGGCAAGTCCTCAGGTTTATCGTCGGGAGAACCTGTTCTTGAAAGCTTTAATCGTCTTAGCCATCATTGGGGCAATTTCTGTGAAGAGAGAAATAAGGCTGTTGTTTCAGATCTGTGGCCGTTTAGACACACACCGCCAGTGGTTTACAGTCAAAGCCAAGGTCTTGCCACACTCTTGGCTCTGCACCACCAGGCAGATGGGCGCAAGCAGCAGTGGTCGGCTAACGCCACAGTAAAAGCAGCAGCACACAGCTAACGCCTGCTGAGCCCCTGCCAGGCCTGGAACAATGACTATCTCTAACTCGAACAACCTCACCAAGACTCAGAGACTGGCCAACTTGCCCCTGGTTGAACAGCAAGTGGCGGAACTGGAACTCAGTCCTTGCCAGACTCTAAAGGCCATGCTGAGCCATAACGGAACCCTGCCTCACCAACATCCAAACCAGCAAAAAGCACCCCTTTCCTACCCCCGTCTTGCCGGGTAGCAACAGGTCTAAGATGACCTAAATGTAAATACCACGGAAGGAAGGAGGGCTAGCTGGCTCGTGCGACTGGTTAGCCTGAGCACAGTCAAAGCTTAAGCCAGGACTCCCACCCTCCCATGGGCCCTGAAGTAAGAACAGAACAATGTTTTTCTTAAGTTAGGACTCCTCCTCAGAATACTGGGGATAGTGCCAAAATGAATGTTCACTATGATCATTATTTAAAAGATAAATAATGTGCTCTCGAAGTCTTCACAAAAGGAGTGACATTTCATTCAATAATGAATTGATAATGAATTGAGCTTTAAAAAAAAGATAAATATGCATTGTGAACAAAGCAGGGGAAAGGAGGCACTGCCATTTAGACCAGCTCTGTGCAAGCCATCATACATACGCTACATCCAATACACAACATGTGATGCAGTGGCCGTGACACTAAAGGGGTTCAAATACTAGTTTTGAAATATCTGAGCAGGAACCGCAAGCTACTCACTCTTCACAGTCGGTTTCCTAGGATCATAGGAAACAGTGCTGCTGACCACGGACGCCAAGTGGGCACTGCTGGTGCTCGGGCCGTCATAGGCCGGCTCCTCGGGGCTGGTGTTAAAGCTATTGCTGCTGCCACTGCTGAAGGGAGCATAGCTGCTTCCTGTGGTGTATGGGGCTGGCTTAATCCTGTAACACAGGACAAAGTTGGTCAGTCATGAGCATGAGATATCCGCCCTCGGCACCAACGGCCTGAAGCTGGCCTTTCTGAGAAGACTCAGTTTGTGGTTTTGACCAGCAAACGCTGGGACCCTAGATTCTGGTGGTGGCGCTGTGATGATAGCATCAGCCCTTCAGAGTGAATGATACGCTCAACTAACTTTCCACTCTTTAGGTGTAAATCTGCATTATGCAAAGGCCAATGTGACTTAAACAATTTAGTCCTCATAGTAAAGCTCATTTTTGTTTAAATGGGGAAAGGGAACACATAAGCGAATGTTTTCCAGAAGCCAGGCCCTGTTCTCCATTTACTCTTGACCCTCTGAGAGGCAAGAATAATTATCCAGCCTACACTGCAGTCAAGGAAGCTGCGACTCAGGGAGGTCAAGTGCCGAGCTGGTCAGGTCGGCCTCCAGAACCCACTCTGCAAGGTGGTGCTTTCCCCCCAAAAGGAACTGCTTCCTGCCTCTGGGCTGCCTTTTCAGGGTGAATGACAAGCTCTTAGACTCTTCCCTGAGTACGCAGAGCTCATACTTGATTTTCTCGGGCACAGCTGCTCCTCCTGTTCCAAACTTCTCCTGCCTTCTTCGAACATCACGAGGTGGCTTGGCCACCGAGTTGACAAAGGCCATCTTTGCTTGTCGGCCTGTGGAGAAATATGGAGGTTAATACCTGCCTTCCTGAGCAGAGATGCTACTGTTAGTTTAATAATCTACACTGTTAAGAGAGAAAGGCTTTTCAAGTGCCCCCAAAGCTTAGGGTTCATCAGTGCTGAAAACCCATCTGTAGGATAGTGTGAGTGGTGGCAGAAGAAACCCCCACCCGTGCCCGAATTCCATACGTGCAAGAGATTGAGGGGCCAGAGGCCCTACCTCCATCAGCCGGCCCACCAAGGCCTGCTGTGGACTAGAACGCAGGGCTCACTATTTGCCAGGCCCCATCCCCTCCCACCTTTGGGCTTATTGGCATGTGCAGATCGGATATTCTTTGTCAGAAGGCGTAGCCGCTGCTCTCGGGCATCCTGAAGCCGCAGGTACATCTCCCGCCACGACTCATACTCTTCTGGCCTTTCTTCTTTAAAGTCTCGGTGACAGTGAATTTTCCATAATTGATCTGTAT